TCTCCTTGGCAAATACTTGCTTTGAAAGTATTAAAATTAATTATTTTTCACTATCTTTTAAAATTACTGCTTGATCTCCCATAAGGTTGCTCATTAAGAAACACAATTAGACCATCTTCTGCTTTTTCACCTCCGCTTGCCTCTTACCTTCTAATTAGTTTGCTAGGTTCAGGATGATAGTGCAGTATGACGTGCCACAATCCAAAGAGGGAAAAACCAGTTGGCAGGGAGCGGACTTCAATGAGAGCTGAGTAGGATTGACTGGAATGAAGGAGAAACAGTAACTGAACAATGGGCTATCTTCAAAGAGGAGATGGCTAGGGTATGTTTCATCAAATGGGATAGGTGGAACAAACAAATCCAGAACTCTCTGGATGACAAAAGGGAGACAGAAATTAAGACAGAGAAGGAAAAGTGGAGTTATGACAAGTGTCTGGTCAAAAATTAAATTGAAAACCAAGACGAATATCAATGGTTTAGAGGGAAGATGAGAAAGCAAATAAAAGAAGCAAACAGCAATTATGAAAAAAGACCAGCAGCCAATATAAAGAGGTATCTTAAATTCTTCCATGACCAGATAAACAGTAAAAGGGTGGTATAAGGAGGGGTAGGGCTGATTAAGGGCTAAAAAGGGGATTTACGCATGGAGACAGGGGGCATGGCTGAGGCGCTAAATTAATAATTTGCATCTCTCTTTACCAAAGAGAGAGAGGCTACCCATGCCATGGTGACAGAGGAGGGAACTTAGTCATGAGAAGTGTTCAAAATTGATAGGACTGAAGTGTTGGTATTTAAAGTTGACAAAACACCAGAACCAAATGAAATGCTTCAAAGCATTTTGAAGGAATTGAGAGTAGTAATTGCAGGGGCTCTGGCCACAATGTTTCAGTCTTCCCTAGACTTGCAGAGATTGTCAAATTGCAAATATTACAGCCTTGAGGTTTTAGAGTAGATTTGTAGCTCAGGTTGTGGATGTTGTGGTTGGTTGGCTCGCCGAGCTGGTTCGTTGTTCCGCAGATGTTGTTACCCAGCAGGGTAATGAAACGCTTGCGGAAAAACAAATCAGTAAGCCAACCAACCACTACATTGTAGCCTTGTTTAAGGAAGGTTGCAAGGATAATCCCAACATTTACAGAGTAGTCAGTTTAACAGCAATGGGGAAGCTTCTAGGGACAGTTATTCGGATAGAATTAATAGTTGCATGGAAAAAGGTGGGTTCATTAGGAAAAGTCAGCATGGATTTCTAAAGAGAAATTCATATTTAACTAGCTTGCTGGAGGTTTTTGAAGATGTAACAGAAAGGCTTGTTGAGGGTAACACTGTTGATCTAGTGTACATGGACTTTCAGAAGGTGTTTGATCCAGTGCCACACAACAGACTTGTGAGGGAAGTTGTAGATTATTGAATAAAAAGGCTGCAGCAACATTGATACAAAATTTGCTGAGACATAGGAAACAGAGAGTAATGGCCAAACAAAACTCCTCAGGCTAGAGGAGGGTTTGTAGTGCAATATTAGCCCACTTCCTTTTCCTGAAACATATTAATGATCTATATCTTGGTGTGTAGAGAACAATGTCAAAGTTTGCAGAGGCCATAAAACTTGGATGAATTACAAACTGTTGGGAGGACCGTGTGGAACTCCAGAAGCATATAGACAAGTTAGTAGAGTGGGCAAATAAATGGCATTGAGTTTCAATGCAAAGAAATGTGCGTTGATGCACTTTGGTAGGAACAGCATCAAAAGATAATACAAGTTAAGGAGTACATTTCTAAAGGGGGCATAAGAGAAGAAGGAACTGGGTGTATCTATGCACAGATCATTGAAGGTGGCAGGATAAGTAAGTAAACCATACAGTAGCCTAGGCTTTATGAATAGGGACAGAGAGTGCGAGAGCAAGGAGACAATGTTTATCTTGTATTAGACACTTTTTAGACCTCAGCTAGAGTTTTATAGACAGTTCTGGGCACCTTAGTGTAGGAGGTATATGAACGCAGTGGAGAGAGTGCAGAAAGGGTTGACAAGAATGGTTCGAGAGTGAGGAACTTCAGTTCTGAGGATAAATCGAAAAAGTTGGGACTGTTGACCTTGGAGAGAAGAAGACAAAGAAGAGATCTGATTAAACACTGACATCTGGTTTTCAAAATCATGAGCGGATCAGTCAGAGTAGACAAGCAGTTGTTTCCACTTATGAAAGGAACACGCATATGGCAGCATAGATTTAAAATGATCTGCAGAAGAAGCAAGGATGAATTGACGAAAAACTCTTTCACACAGCGAGTAGTTAGGGTTTGGAATGCACTGACTGGAAGTGGTGGAAACATGTTCAATTGAAAGATTCAAGAGGGCATTGAATGTTTATTTGGGTAAAAATAATGTTTAAGGATATGGGGGAAAAGCAGGAAGTTAGCCATAGGTAATGATGAGCATTTAACGAGCTGGTTAGGCATGATGGGCCAAATAGCCTCCTGCAATGTAACACTTCTGTAATTCTGCAATTTCCATCTCCATCTCTTTCTTTTCCTTTCTCTCCTTCTATGACATGACTTCTCTTTTCTGTGAGTTTCTTTTGGATTTGGGTCTTGGTTTTTGTGAAACCAAGATCCCAAATCAGCTGCCCATTTTCTAAGGTTCTCATTTCTTATTGATTGCTGCCTCACTGGAACACATTCTGCACCATCACAGAAAGGTAAGATCTACTCCTGTCTTCTCCAGATCTCCTGCTCATTGTGTACATCGTGTTGCAGGAGGTCAGGTGCACTAGAGAGGTCACCGTGAAGAGCTTTTCAAAGTACTTGTTTGCAATTTTCACATTATATTAACTGGCATATTGCGGCCAACATCATTGCTTCTGTATTCAAAGTCTTTCCATTATGGGATCTATCACAGGATCATGACCCAGAGGGAAACACTAATACTTCTTGGAAATGAATGTCCTATTCATACTGGAGCTCATTTTCAAGTGTACAATGCGAGTTGGATAAATATGTTCCATCCACAAGTTTTACTGTTTTCTCTTTTCTGGGTAACGTAGCTTCCTATTTACATAGTCAAGTGCTAACCTTTTATTCTGTGTGGTTTTTTTTCTCTACCCAGCACCCACAACCTCGCCCCTCCACATCCCCATTCTCCCCTTAAGTCGTTTCTCAAAGCTCACTCCAAAGACTTGGCTACCAAATCAAAACAGACGCTCCTGCAGCGCCAAGAGAGCACAACGCTGTCAGTGGCACTGTCTTTCCAACAAGACGTTAAACCGAGCGCCCTCCCCATCCCCCAGAGCGGCCCCCTCGGGTGGATGTTAAAGATCCGTTGGGCCTTGAAGAAGAACAGAATTCTCCCAGGGAGAGAAACGGGACGATAGAAAGAGAGGAAGGCATACTTGGAGGTGGAAATGATTAGGCAAGAGACAAGCAGAGACAGTTATAGAAGCTGCACCTATTTGTTTTTCTTAATGAGCATCCTCAAGGGAAACGAAATGATAATTTACAAAGGTTGTCATTTTAAAAGAAGTTCTCACAATTATTAAAAAGTGAAGATTACCTCGTTGAGCTTAGCTCCTGCACTTTTAAGAATTATTTTGCGTTCAGTGCTTTGGAATGTCCTGTGGTCATGAAAGTCACTATATGAGTGCAGTATGTGCAGCTGGTATATGCCTGTTTGGCTTTCACCAGCACTTTTACTCTCTGCGCATTTCTCTTTCTTTCCATTTTGTTCACGCTCACTCAGTTCCTTATGTCCCACGGAGGCAGACTCTGTGCATCAGCTCTGGTAGTTGCAGAAAACTGTCTGGTTGGGCAAGGCAGAAAGGAGATTCAGGGCCCAGCCTACGAAGAATTGGTTAACCCTGACCATGGGCAGACGGGGGAGTGTGGTGAGGGTGCACAGGTAGGAGAAGGGCTAACTGGAATAGTCCAAGGGACCATTTGTGTACTTGAGTTGCTGATAAAAAGAGTGACGTTTGTTGCTACAAATAAAGGTGAAATGGTGAAATCTATGCCCAATTCCAAGCAATTCCAATGTGTGCAATATGTTCATGCTGCAATTAAAATAGGGAGACTTGCATTTATATAGCACCATATGTAGGCACCAAAGCACTTCACTGTCAATGATGTACTAGAACAAAGAACAAAGAAAATTACAGCACAGGAACAGGCCCTTCAGCCCACCAAGCCTGCGCCGATCCAGATCCTCTATCTAAACCTGTCGCCTATTTTCCAAGGATCTGTATCCCTCTGCTCCCTGCCCATTCATGTATCTGTCTAGATAAATCTTAAATGACGCTATCATGCCTGCCTCTACCACCTCCGATGGCAAATGCGTTCCAGGCACCCACCACCCTCTGCGTAAAGAACTTTCCGCGCATATCTCCCTTAAACTTTTCCCCTCTCACCTTGAAATCGTGATCCCTAGTAATTGAGTCCCCCACTCTGGGAAAAAGCTTCTTGCTATCCACCCTGTCTATACCTCTCATGATTTTGTAGACCTCAATCAGGTCCCCCCCTCAACCTCCGTCTTTCTAATGTAAATAATCCTAATCTACTCAACCTCTCTTCATAGCTACTGTATATAGCTGTGCATTTGTTTTTATAATGTTGGAAACATTGGAGCCAATTGTGCACAGCAATCTGACACAAGCAGCAGCGCGATTCTGAGTTGAGGAATAAATACTGTACATGACACTAGAGAGAAGTCCCCCATTCCTCTTCAAAATAGAGGCCCATGGGATCTTTTTGCGATCTCCTAGAGGGCCCTGATTTCATGTCTCACAATCAAAAGATAGCACTGCCAACAGGCCAGCACTCCCTCAGTGCTACACTGGAGGGCCAGCTTTGATGTGGTACCTGTGTCAGATCGAGGGTGGAGACTTGAACATATAACCTTCTGTCTCTAAGATAAGAGTCCTGCCACTGAGCCACAGCTGGCAGATAAACGGTAGCCAGTGTATAAGTTTACCATGGCAGGGAAATCATTTTAACCTCCGTTTTATTACTTTATGTTTCAGAGCAAACTGATTGCCGGAAGGATTATCCCAGCCATTGCCACCACGACAGCTGCAATTGTTGGTCTCGTGTGTTTGGAGCTGTACAAGATTGTGCAGGGTAACAGGCCAATAATGGCCCACAGGAATGGCTTCATCAACTTGGCCCTGCCTTTTTATGCTTTCTCTGTGCCTCTGCCAGCTGACAAACAGAAGGTAAGTGGGTCTACCTCGGCCCTTGTTTAAACAAGACCTGAGGTGTAACAAACCCCTCACCATCTGCCACAGGTCTTGACTGCTCAACCCCACAAAACGACCTTCAGCACTTCGAGCACTGAGGAGAGAATTTGGTCCTCCATTTAATCTTGTTAAACCTAATCGCTCTGACATAATTTTCACTGACCAGCTGAGGGACTCCCTTTGCAATGAGCTGCTCTGATTTACCTTTGTTCTGTCTTACCACACACATTGTTATCGTGTGGCAGAATATATGAGTACGTGCCAGAAAGGTATCATCAGACACTGCTAATTCCACCCCATTAGTAGACTCTGTTTCTAGGCAACCATGCAGCTTGAGTGACTGGAGACAGCCATTTACACAACCAATCCTGACTCATAAATAGCCAGAAATCCCAGAATAGGAGACAGAAGGATTTGAACCTGTGGGAGTCTGGAGTATTTTTAGCGAAAGATTGATCTTTGTTGTTCCAGGCATTCTTGTTTTGCTTGTCACATGTAAAATTGCCCTCATAATTTAGCATGAATTTGCAGAGTCTATTAATTCTAAGAGATATTACTTTTAGGGAAAGAATTTACCTTTAGCTTTTGTCCTAATTGGACATTGAAAGTTATCGAGGTTGTGTTATAACCATGTTGAACTGTGGTTGAAGAAAGACATAAAAATCAAAAGAAATTTTAAAAAAGTCATATTGTACTCGAAACAGTAACTTAGTTTATCTCTCCACAGATGCTGCCAGACCTGCTGGAATCTCCAGCATTTTCTGTTTCTATTTCAAATCTCCAGCATCTGTTGTATTTCGTTTTAATACGATTGAAAAAGAAAGACCTTGTTTAAATTACAATTAAACTGACCCATTTGACTGCAATAGTCCTGACAATTTGGTGATCAGATTTGATAAGGATCACTGTACATTCAACTTCGATTTCTTTAGTGTGACAATTCCCACAGATGTCAGGGAAACACCTTTCTAGAATCTTAATAAAGGCCGCTTCATGAACTGAATACAATGCATTCCACCAATATTAGAAAAATATTGCTGGCGAGTAGAAGTGTTTGAATATGTTACTCACTGGAGAACAAATTCCTATTGAGATCAAATATTAAGGATTTGAGTAATCCTTGCGTAATTCAGAGTTGCTCTTGCTCAAGCAAAGCTTTCTAATTGTAGGAGGTTTACATGTAACTGGTTCACAGTAATAAGGGAGGCAAAGGCCTAGTGATATCATCGCTGGACTGTTAAGCCAGAGATGGTACAGGTAATGTGTGTCTGAAGAACCAGGTTCAAATCCCGCCATGGCAGATGGTGGAATTTGAATTCAATAAAAAGTCTGGAATTAAGAATCTAATGATGACCATTGTTGATTGTCAGGGGAAAAGCCATCTGGTTCACTGATACCCTTTAGGGTAGGAAACTGCCATCCTTACCTGGTCTGGCCTACATGTGACTCCAGACCCACGCCATGTGGTTGACTCTTAACTGGGCAATTAAGTGTTGGCCTAGCCCACGACGTGCTCGTCCTGTGAATGAATAAATGAAAAGGTACAAGAGTGGTTGAAATAGGTGAAGGTTGAAAGAAATAATGAAACTCCATTGCCTCCAAAACTATTGTCTATGCAGAGTACCTTGTCAAGAGCATAAGCAAAAGCAAGCCAATCAACCCATCAAGTCTGGTCCACTGTGCAATCATGGCTGATCTGATAATCCTTAACTCCACTTTCCTACCATTTCCCCTAATTGATTAAAAATCTACCTGAGCCTTGCATATACTTACCAAACCAGCGTCAACAGCCCTCTGCAGTAAAGAATTCCATTGATTCACCATTCTCTGAAAGAAAAAGAGTTCCTGTCTTATGTTAGAAATAAAGAGGACAGAGTCTGAAGAACAATTAAATGACAAAACTCAACTTGCACTGGATCACAAGGCTGCTAAGAAACATGTCTCTGGATTAGATTTGTTTTTAAATTCTAAATTTTAATGAATTTTTAATAATAGAAGAGCATGTCAATATTTTCCGTAGAAAGTTCTACTGCTTTTCTGATGCAACATTAGAAGAAAATCAGTGAAAATGTAGAAAGGATATGATGGCCTGGTTTCACCAGCATGCCTAACCCAATTTACTCTGAGATATCAGGACGTCATCCAATGACATTGCCACACGTGTTTCTGCTCCTATGTTTAATTAACTGTCTGATGAGCAACACTTCCACCTTTAGGATGAATCAGTGGAGACCTTTACTGTAACGTCTTAACCTACAAGGCTCCATCACTCAAAGGTCATATTTTATGGACCTTTTGGGGTCCTATTGTTTAAATCGTTCAGGGGAATTGAGCAACACTAGCTAGGGTCATCATTTGTTGCCTTTCCCTATTGTCCTGGGAATGAGTCAAGTCTTCACTAATCCACTGTTTTAAAGAAAACAGTTAAGTAAGGCTTACAGTGTGGTGTAGAAAGTGCACACCGTGTATGTAGGTCATACTGCACATGCATAGTCCAGTTTGTTTGTCATTTGCGAAAGTCATCATTTGAGATTTTCTGGGAACTCACCCCCTGCGATTGCCAGCATTTTAGTAGAAATGTGAACATGGGTATATATTGAAGTCATCCAATAGTGTGTTGCTGAGGGATATTTTCCGACCACAGTCTTGGTAAATTTGATACCCATCTGCCAAGTGTCATGTGATCCAGGTAATTTGTGATCTGTCTGTTGTGTAGGAAGAGGTGGGAGAGCACTGTGACCTGAGCACAGATGTGCCTTTTCCTGATAATATCACATTAGGACTTCTGTTCGGGATCATTTAAAAGTAAATCTGTTGTGGTGACCCATCAATGCCAGCTGGACGTCCAGATGGTGCCAATGTGTTCTGTTCCATCAGAAAGGCTGTATCTTATAGGTTACAAACATGCTTCTTCAAAAAAAATTAATATGAATTACAGGAATACTACTCAGTTTCATAGAATGAATGCCACAATGGCTCAGTGGTTTAAATGTATCATCGTGTGTATTGTGTTCAATCCATGGTCCATGCTGCTGTTGCAAAATGGCTTTAGATTAAGCGTGAGGAACGAGAAGGATTTACGTTTATGTAACAACCTTTCACAACCTCAGGACATGTCAATTAAGCATTTTACAACAACTACCTTTGAAGTATGATCATTTCTATAATGTAAGAAATAAGGCAGCCATCATAAGGAAGTGTGGCGCTCTCAATACTACCACAAGTGTCTTGGCCTTGGCTTTATTCTCACATCCAGAGGCCTCAGCATCAGAAAATTAGTTGGTTTTAAAACCCCATTTCAAATGTATAATAGTTTTACTCCCATGTTTGTGTCTATCGGCATTATGTAAGGATGAACAGACAACAGCTGAGCAGAGTGTCCTGACAGCTCAGTACTGGCATTGTCCCTTCACCATCTGATATTACTCAGGTTTCTCATAGGAGCAGACTGACCTGATTTAGCTCTGGGATGACTCCAGCTGGCTCCTGCCCTTTGAACTCTGGGGTCCAACACAGTTCACTGGAAGCCGGCAGCAGCAGAGAAACTGGATGGAAGAAAATTCATCTGTGTCCAATTCTAGGAGTATAGGTTTACTTTGTCACAAAGTAGTGTGCATCTCTGCGAGAATCTTGAAAAATTCCAGAAACGATTTACAGGGATGTTGCCGAGGTTGGACGGTTTGAGCTATAGGGAGAAGCTGAATAAGCTGGGGCTATTTTCCCTGGCGTGTTGAAGGGTGACTTTATACAGGTTTATAAAATCATGAGGGGCATGGATAGGGTAAATAGGAAAGGTTTTTTCCCTGGGGTGGGGGAGTCCAAAACTAGAGAGCATAGGTTTAAGGGGAGACGGGAAAGATATAAAAGGGACCAAGGAGAAACATTTTCACGCAGAAGTTGGTGTGTGTGTGGAATGAGCTGCCAGAGGAAGTGCTGGAGACTGGTACAATTATAACATTTAAAAGACATCTGGATAGGTACATGAATAGGAAGGGTTTAGAGGGATATGTGCCAAATGCTGGCAAAGGCTCGGACTTTTTTCACGGCAGCACACGTGGTTGAGAGGCAACCTTCTATAAGTTTATAAAATAATGAGGGGTTTAGGTAGAGTTAATGGTTGTTGTCTTTGCCCTAGGATGGGGTACATTTTTAAGGTGAGAGGAGAGAGATTTAAAAAAGACATGAGAGGCAATTTTTTACACAGAAGGTGGATCGCATGTGGACTAAACTTCCTGAGAAGATGGTGAATGTGGGTACAATTACAATGTTTAAAAGGCATTTGGATAAGTAATTAAATAGGAAAGATTTGGAGGGATATGGACCATGGGCAGGCAGGTGAGATGAGTTTAGTTTGGGATTATGTTTCGCATGGACTGGTTGGACCAAAGGGTCTATTTCTGTGCTGAATGACTCTGTGACTCTAAATGGAACTAGATTAATTTTTAGGATATTTTGTCCACATGGACAAGTTGGACCAAAGGGTCTGTTTCTGTGCTGTAAATCTCTACGACTCTATGACTCTATGAAATCAAATTTCAGTCTCAACTCTAGCCAACATTATTCAGAATGCTCAGCCTGTTCCTGGGGCAAATGGAACTAATTAGTGCAGTTTATGGAAGAAAGAGGCAAAAAGATGTACTAAAAGTGCTGTACGCATCTGCTACGTACAAAAGTACCAGGGCCAGTTGGCCTTCTCTTGTGGCTCAGTTTGTCATACTCTTGCTGCGAAGTCACAGGATTCCAGGTTCAAGTTCAACTCAAGATCTCAAGAATAAAAGCTGTGGTTGACGGTGCAGTACTTTGGGAGTGCTGGGCTGTCAAAGATGCTATCTTCCAGATAAGATGTTAACTCTGAAAAATGTCATACTGGAGTCAACGTGTTAATTCTGTTTCTCTTTCCACGGATGCTGCCAAAGCTGCTGAGTTTCACCAGCCTTCTCTGAGCTTGTTTCAGATTTCCAGCAGTATTTTGCTTT